TCCTATGTATACATCCTGGGGGATAGTATTCATATTGTCCAATACGCCCTGCGCCATTTCTGTCACTCGGCCAGCAATGAGAAGATTCCGTATGAATTGAATTGTTTCCTTAAGTGGCATTTAGAAGCTGGTATGATGATGAGGAACACTTTTTATGGATAGACAACTTCTTTATTGCAGTGGATGCGACGTTTCGGTGTAGATCCTAACACCATTAGCAAATCATCGGTGTAGATCTTAACACCGTTAGCAAATCATCGGTGTAGATCCTAACACCGTTAGCAAATCATCGGTGTAGATCCTAACACCGTTAGCAAATCATCGGTGTAGATCCTAACACCGTTAGCAAATCATCGGTGTAGATCCTAACACCGTTAGCAAATCATCGGTGTAGATCCTAACACCGTTAGCAAATCATCGGTGTAGATCCTAACACCGTTAGCAAATCATCGGTGTAGATCCTAACACCGTTAGCAAATCATCGGTGTAGATCCTAACACCGTTAGCAAATCATCGGTGTAGATCCTAACACCGTTAGCAAATCATCGGTGTAGATCCTAACACCGTTAGCAAATCATCGGTGTAGATCCTAACACCGTTAGCAAATCATCGGTGTAGATCCTAACACCGTTAGCAAATCATCGGTGTAGATCTTAACACCGTTAGCAAATCATCGGTGTAGATCCTAACACCGTTAGCAAATCATCGGTGTAGATCCTAACACCGTTAGCAAATCATCGGTGTAGATCCTAACACCGTTAGCAAATCATCGGTGTAGATCCTAACACCACATCGGTGTAGATCCTAACACCGTTAGCAAATCATCGGTGTAGATCCTAACACCGTTAGCAAATCATCGGTGTAGATCCTAACACCGTTAACAAATCATTAGCTTGATAACGGTGTTAGGATCTACTGCAATAAAGAAGTTGTCCATCCTTAAAAAGTGTTCCTCTTCGGAATGTCTAGTTTCATTAGTTCACGTGACAATCACATCGCACAACACACTGTGGCGGCAGCCTTGGTCCTGCTGCTCATCAACTTATATAACAACTCTCCATCATCCATCTGAAATCGTTCCTAAATACTAGGGCTTACTTTTGTGAAAGTATATCTATTTAACCTTAAACACAATACATAAGATGCGTGTCAGTCTACACCATTGTACAGAGGGGTGGTGGGGTAGCCATGTGGTTAAAGCGTTCGCTCGCCACGCAGAAGACCGGGGTTCCATTCCCCACATGGGTACAATGTGTGAAGCCCATTTCTGGTGTCCCCCGCCATGATATTGCTGGAATATTGCTAAAAGCAGCGTAAAACCATACTCACTCACCCCATCGCACAGGTAACGGCACAACCGAATGACAAATAGGTTATCTGAAGCGGCTGTAAAAGGCTCCAGTGTGTTTTATTAGCGTCAGCAGTGATTTTATGTTGTTAAAGTTACATTTTATAATTAAACGGCAGTAAAAGGATGTTAATCTATTTTCCCATTGTATCTGCTTCCATGAGAACATGATTCGTGATTTTCTGTAGACTGATCCGATAATGAGATTTGTACAGTGAATGCATGAATTTTCCTTTTTATTGTTGAACGACGCCGCACTCAGCAATTTCCCCGTGTATATGACGTCAGTCTGTAAAAATCGAGTCTGGACCATGCAACCCAGTGGTTGACAGCATGAATATCGACTAACACAACTTGGACACAATTGCATACATCAACCAATTCAGCGAGCCTCATCAGGAACAGGAAGTGGAAAAAATGTATTTTTACAGCCCGAAGAACAACATGTGTCGTGACCTTAAATGTAGAATGGGCTTAAGTGTAGAATAGCCATGAATATTCATCAGTGGGTGGAGATTTTATGACCACGTCACACGTGTTTCCTACGCACTACTACACTTAAGCCCATTCTACACTTAAGGTCACAACAAACATACAGTTGTCAGAACAGAACTGTAACAGCCAAAGCAGCCCGGTTCTAACGGCAATAACAGAAGGGCACCTGCTGAAATTCTCACACCTTCATCATAGTTTATTAAAAGTATCGATCAGAACACTTTTGACCATACCATAGGTCTTGTACCTTGACACTTGTTGTTATTTGCTTTATTTAACGTCGCACGCACAACTAAGGTATTTCGGCGAGGGAGTAGTACACTTACTAAGAAATGAGGGGGAACAAAAAACAGAAATTTTGAAAGAGTGGTGTTACTACCCCCAAAAAATATGAAATAGGTAAAGATTAATAGAGATTTGGAATTAAATATAGATGTAGTGTAATAAATGGTTAATGTTATTGTTATGTTATTGTGATTGTTTTTTGTTTTTACACCCAACCTTGACAAAAGCACTAGTATATATAACCGTACTGGACGTCACAGAGATTATTCAGGACCAAACGTACTTGTAATATTTGTTTTTTGTTACAGCTACACTCAGCAATAGTCCAGCTATATGACAACTGTGAAACTGGTGTTAATAATAAGTTCTGGACAATCCAGTGACTGCCGTGAGCCCCAATCTATGCAATAACGATGACGTTAGCAACAATCCATGCAATAACGATGACGTGAGCACCAATCTATGCAATAACGATGACGTGCATCAAGCAAGTCAGTTACAAGCCTGACAACGTGATCCCTCTATTCGCCTCATAAGCGTGGGTTTCTGAAGACACATTCCAACCCAGATCTTCAAGCGACCATTATGCCAAGTCCACGAAACACAATGAAAGTCTTCTTCTTAATTTCATAACACAAATCTGACATTTTCACGAGAAGCCAGGCAAACGGGGCGTGATCGGAAACTCAGCCATGATATTTGTGAACAACAAGTGTTCTGAGATGTGGCTATTGCACTTACAGGTATTCAAATCTTAAAATAAATATAAAAAATTATAGTCCCACTCGCGAGTTGTTGCGTAGGGGCAGTTTATAAATTATGGCTATGGGGGTGATGATGATTTTGAGGGGACCACCCATTTTGTTCTGTGGAAGTAGGAGGGCATCGATTTTGTACATATAAATATTAAACAATTCTGATTAAAAACAATGGGAAGGGGATGGGTGGTTTCATTTTGTATTACATTTTGTATTTTGTCAATACAGGACATTGAGGAGTTTTAGGGGATTCATTCACATTGTACATGCTTCTCCAAAAAATCATACAATTATGAACGGTCAGTTAAATAATATTCTAAAATCTAATTTCAAGTCAAAATTCTATTTTCATTGATATTTCGCTTAAAAATCCTGTGGAACTCGTGATGTAATGATCAAACGTTGAATTGTCCTATAAGTTAGTTGTGGAGGGTCAATTTTAAACTCATTCCACAGGTTTCGACATGCAAATGCGTTGTACACGTAGACTTTGGTGGACAAGCCCTGACTAAGCCCAATTTAATTGTGTTAAACCTGTTTGCTGTAGACTGTGTCTGGTCTAAATAGGTCAGTCCTAACCCTCTAATTTGAGGGTTTAAAGCCCCCATTGTGTAGGAATTAATTGCTAATGAGGGTGTTATTGAGAACGGGAGTCAGCAATACGTAACCATACGTGTATGGGGGCTAATTGGATTCCCTATTGTGTACAGATGTCAGTGAGACCTAATTAGCATTTCGTACTGGCAGGTGTATCAAGATACCGCTTCCACACTTGACCTTTCACCTCAACACGGGCAATACACAAGGACAGGGTGAGCGACTGTAGGAGGTTTGGAGTGAGTGTAGCTGACATATCGATAGAGGGATTTCTATTTTTTTCAGGGTTATTCTTAATATCAGGTACTGTACATCTGACATTTACTAACGACTTTCTTATAATATGTCAATATTGATATCAATTTAGTTGCGCTATCTAAACTTCAGGACAAGAGAAAGAATTCACCCATGATGCTAATATTTGTTTATGAAACAATGACTTATCCTATTAAAATATGTTTTAAATGTTTGCACAACTTATATTTTGATCTGCATGTATAGTTAGTTAATGGTATTGGCACGATGATTGAAGCGGAATTTATGACGATTGATCGTGTTTGTTTCTTAATATTTGCCTTGTTAAACCAAACGAATATGATAATTTAACGAAGGACATTTACATGAAGATCTGTTTTGCATTTGGTTTGAATTGGCTAATACTGACGAACTTCTCAAAATCATTTAATCACGACTTAGACTACGACACGTAAAGAAACAAAACAAAATATAATATTTAATATACAGTACTAAAAAATGAAAAGTACACAATTCCTTGGCCAGAGACTGGACGCTACATACGGATGAGTTAAAAACGTTCATGGAATATTAATATTCTCATGTAGCTGAGAGTCTCTGTACTTCTTCAACAATTTTTCATATAAGTGCACATGAGTATCATACGCTGAAAGGCGTAAATAAAACAGGCAGTGTACACAGTGGAGCATTATTATACTGAAGGTATGTAATTTGGATACATATAACTGTGCAGTATGACAATAACATGTAATTAATGAATATGTCAGATTCGTTTAATTGAGCTCGGCGTATTTTGACATGAACCTATAGTGCATACAGTTATTTCCAGTGTTCACCTTATTTTTTACAAAATGTTATACTTTCACCGTGGCATTATCATATTTCCTCGTTTTCATAAGCTATCAGAGTGTTGAAAAGTTCGTTTCGGCATATTATAACTTTTTATTCAATAAAAAATTATGTTGATATACAGCTTGATATTTTTGCTAACATGCTATGTAAAATATTTTTATTTATGGTGAAAATGTTATCCGAAGCTTCAATATTTTCTTTTAAAAAGATGTGTTAAATTCTATCCTTAAACCATGACGTATATATTCTCAGAGATTGTGCAAAGTGATTTTAATTGTCATAGTACTAAATAAAAACAAAAACATGTGCAACATATGATATGTGTAACAATTCGAAAACGAACCGGCAAAAAAGACGTCTGCTCTGATTTTTGTTCTCAGTTATAAATCAACCGAGTTACCTCCCCGGAAGTATATCGATCCCAAAGTTCCTGTTGCCAGCGCCGCCATATTTCTCGACAGAAAGCAACGACGCCAACAGGTATCACAAAGGTAACAAAGAAAATCGTTCAAAACATCTGTGACATATGACTTTTGTGTAGAACTTTCAAATGTGTATGTGCCTTCAATCAAGACAATGAGTACAGACACACGGACTGCTAATTCTGGGAAGAAGAAAGGTGGTGGATTTTTATCGCGTCAGGCGAAAGCGAAATCACAGACTGAATGTGTGACAGAGGAAGAACTTTTGAAGAGGGACGTTGTGACGCCAGATGATGTATTACGACTAAGTAAAACGACAGAGAGTAAGTGTTTGAATTATTTTTCGTTTTAGCAATTGGTGTGCTTTCAGTGTAGATTGGGTAAACAGTTTGGTGACCTTGGTTCTCTGTGGTTATAGATGTAAACAAAGAAATATTCCGACGTACGGTTGATACGAATCGGCCCCCAAATCTAGCTGCTTGTGTATCAGCCTCATATCCCATGATTGTTATATCTCATTTTATGACATGTGGATCAGTGTTTGAAAGATTTCTTTAATTACTGTTTTAGAGTGGTATTGATTGCTCAAAACAGTGGATAATGTTGTTTCGAATTGTCAAGATCTTTTCACGGGATCATTGACAAAACGAATATTCGTTTGTGTCATATTGTAATGGTAATCAGTGGTAAAGCTAGATAAATTCCAACATGAATAAATTGAAGAAGTTCATTTTATCTAACTTAATATATACTGATGTTGTGACCATGATAATATATATGGCTTAAAAGTTAAACATATATTTATCCTTAATTTATGTGATGTACATAATGAAAACAAACCTGTCCTAATTGTTATTGATTACAGTGACATGTTGCAAACCCCTCTACTATAAGCACTATACATCTAGTAATGCTGACTTGTTTTTACAATTACAAATCTTTCCAATCATGAGAACTGATGGAATATCTATGTGAAAGTTGAAATAATGGAAATTTTCGTCATTTCAATTTGTTAGTGATTTCTTTAGCTGAAGGGGTAGGGGAACTAGCTATTTTCAAATGTTTTGCTGTAGAATGTGATCAATATGAAGACATACATGGGGGTGCATTTAGTTATGTTTTTATTATCATTCATGAATTATTAATTACTGCAACAGCCTTATACAGCCCACAAACTATCTCCTCGAGGAAATTATTACTGAGCAATTCCTATGTTCTTTTTAATACATCTGGATACTTGTTTGAAGTCGGACCAGGCTTACACTATGAACATAATGTTTGGGCTTGTTGTGATTCAGCAATATGATTTGAAGGAATATGTAATGACTTGTTATCAAACATAACTTCCTAGGCTGAATGAATATGACATGTATAATGTATTGATGTTACCAATAGTAATCGTAATGAGAATAGTATTAAAAGATAGTATATCTGTCTCCATTTATTTGTGATATATGATCTGGAACTATTCACTGCCATATCTTCTGGTGTGAAAGATGTAATAGTTCTTTCAATGTCCATAAGCCATGGACTAGGAGTAAAGTTTCTTGCCAAGTCAGAGAGGATTGCACAAGCAAGTTTTGGGGCCAAAGAGTAACAAAATAAGTTCCAGTTAAGGCATTTACGATTCACTCGCATATTCAGTGAATAAAACCGTAACCCTTCATGAATTCAATTCGTTGTTCGTGGTCACCAGGACTAAATATTAGCAATATATTAGCAATTTTTTAAGGGAGCATCATTATCATTCATTTTGGATATTTATATTGCGCACATATCCAGGCAACTAGTGCATGCTCAATGCGCTGGTAGTTTTTCCCTCGATCATTGGATGTCAATCTCAACGTCATATCGTATTATCAATCTCAACTCCCTGGGGAGTATACTACTCTTGCAGCCACTAGGCGCACCAGGTTATTGTGGCTTTCTCATCCTAACGAGGTACCCATTAACAGCTGGGTGGACTGGGACGCGTAGTCACAGTATTTTGTCCAAGTTTACTGCACGTTTCTGTACCCGCAACTAGGTGTTTGCACGTATTCATGTGGCCACCATCTGGTCATATACGAACAGATTCGTGGGTTCTTTAGGTTTGAGTGCACAGGGTTGTGTACTGTATACTACTACTAGGAGTTGTGACAACACTGAGTGGGCATAATGTGTGACGCCAATTTCTGGTGTCCCCCACCGTGATATTGCTGGAATAATGCTAAAAGCTTAAAACTAAACTCAGTAAACTCAGACAACACTGAGAGAGTCAGCACGCAAAGTTGACTCCAAGGTTTTTACACACGGTCACAGGTGGGCTCGATCCCGTCACCTCAAGCTCGCTGGATCACTAGCCTGACGACTTAGCCAGCTTGCCCACAATGCCCATTTGAATGTCGGATGAAGGCAAATACACCACCGTCATGTGAAGAATCTGTACAGATCTACCATATGCCATTTGGTCCTATTATTAAGGATGAAATGATACTTTTATGTACTGATCCAATGTAAGTTTCTCATGTGCACATGTCTTTTTCTGTATCGATACACAGAGGTACAGATAAGCTGCGTATCTGTGTAAATTACGCAAATATTTTTGTGAAATCTCAATTCCTATCAAGTCTATTGTGTACGCTTGCATTTTTGTAAATACTCAATAAATTTGATCTAGCATGCGTACACACAAAAATGCCAAATCTTAGCTTGCGTACTGTAGCATTCAGCAAACCTACTAGAATTTGAAGTAAGCAGATCCATGTGCTATAGATGGAGGTTACTGAGGACAGATAGAATAACAGGTAATTTTTCCGGTATATTGTGAGGTTCTATTTCAGTACATGAACTTGGCAACTTGCAGTCTTTCTTATCTTTTCTCATATTACAGATCAAATATAAATAACACACACGTAAACCAACATTTAAACTTTATATCATAAATAAAAAATTGAAAATGGCAAAATACCCAATTGAGTTTGAGTGAGGTGGGTATAATTTATTTGGTTACTCAAAGGAAAATTAGGATACCCCATTGAGATGATCACAAGCGGTACAGAACTCAATCAAAAAGTTATCTGTAACTCTGAATGCGTGACGATACTCTTTCTAGGGGTGGGTATTGCAGAGAATTTTCATATTGCGATGCGAAAGCATATATTGCGATATGTATTGCAATATATTGCAAGAAGTATTTTTAAACAAAAAGCTACTTATAATCGAGTTAATGCTTGATTTATAAAGCATGAATACAACAAAATCACAATGCTTGATTAAGCTTTATTAGAAACTTTTAATCATGACAAAATATAAATGTAAATAATATTTGGCACAAATGAAACAAGGAAATATCCGAAGATTTCCGAGCGTTACGAAGTTTTCTGAATGCAAGTCAAAATACTGGTTTTCGATCAGCGTATCGCAATATGTATCGTTTTCATGTCTGAACCGGTAAACCGGTTATATTGCGCAGCCCTAACTCTTTCACATTGTCATGGTAACTTAAGACTTCATGATCAAAACATGTCAAATAATTCTCATCATTGTTTCACTAAATATATTGAACACATCAACTGCTGACTTTTTATTGTGTTCATTACCCAGTATTCATATTAGTCACCCAGTATTTGTGATACGTATCATATCCACCTCATAGTGGATTTATTGCAGCCCTAGTATACCCTGCATATTCAAGGAAGCCAGTGGTTAAGTTATATTTCAGTGTAAATCGTGTTAATACGGCATGTTAGCATGGTTGGTGTTTAGGAGTTAAAATACATCAAAGATTTTGTCTAATGAACACATAGTATAGCTAAATCAATAATGCAGTTCAAAAATAGCAGCCTGTTTTTGTTGGCTTAATCCTATAAATATTGAACCTAACAGGTTGAGTTCAATACTTTGCAATTAATTGTGTTCGGTGTGTCAATTCAAAAAGTTCTATTTGTATCTCAGGTGAGAATGAGTCTTGGTACCCTAGTAAGGAGAGACCAATTTTATTTCTTGTTTATGGATCCGACGAAAATGTAAACTTACAAAAACTTTTTTTTCTTATTTTCCACATACACTTCATTCAATTGCCAAACATATAGAATACTTTTAGTATTTAAAAGGAATATTACTTTGACTGGTGATTTTTATTTTTTATTTTTTTCCCTCCTGCCGTTAGGTTCTCTGAGGACAAACATCCATAAAACAGGAAGTAAAATTGGTCTGGCCTTATATAAACAAATGTAGTGAACAATAAATTCTGTGGTTATGTCAAGGGTAAATATCCAATAAGATCGACCTAAGATTAATTTACATATGCCCTCTAGGGCTGCATGGAATACATAATGAGATGCTTTCGATATAATTCATGAATATAGGGTAGCGAATAGCAATGTATATTTATGAATATTTTATGTTTGATAAATAAGATATGTAATATGTGTAATGTGAAACATTTCAATGATATTATTTATGACAAAAAGCAATACATCGCGACAATGCCGGTTATAGTCTGTACTGTTAAACTACTGCATGGCTTGTATATATTGCATTTTGCGTATTACATTTTGATAAATATCGACCTAGTTCCATGTCCAAAACATTAATTGAAATAATGTGGTTTGATTTAACGAATCAAATATTAACACGACTGATATTCACTAATGCCTTAGAATAAGTAAATTTCCTTTTGTCCCCATGCCATCTTCAGTGGTTATGGTGCTGGGACAAATACTGTATTTCTGTTTTGGTTAGGTTGTGGTATCGGTTGGTTCTGAAATTTATTGTTCTGGCAGTCTCCTGTATGTTAGTCTGACGATGTCTGTAAACGTTTTGCATTCATCAGGATTTTCCAAATGTGTGTGTCATGTTTTCGTGTTATATCAAGCTGACATTTACATTCCGAGTCCGACCAGTACTTTCCATTTATATAATGGGAAGGTGGCTGTGATTGTGGAGATAGACACACATGGTTTGAGTTTTTGTAAACGTGATAAACAGGAAGATCTTTGTGGAAAAAGGTAAAGTAATTTCACTTGACTCAGGTTTCAGACTACTGGTATATTGATGCAGCATGTAGACTGGCAGTGTGTACAACAAGGAGGCGGACGTCTCTGGGACATTGATGAACTGATCAATAGATACATCACTGTCTGGGACGAGCTCGAGTGTCGGTAGTAATCTCCTGACTACATTTATTGATGGATTATTGGTGCCCTTGCTGGCTAATCCACAGATGATCACTCCGACCGGTACTCATTCTCACATCGTGTCTTGTCATAGCGTGTGGTCGATCATGTGTTGCCTAGTATCAGATAGGTTCATCTTTTAGATCATCTGATTATGACACAAA